TTATTATAATATGAGAAAGCATGATTCTCCTTATAGATCAATAAAGTTTTAGCTATCATGAAGAGTGTGCAAAATGTAATAAATATTGTACAACAAACCAAGTTAATAAATACAAAGATAAAGTAGAAAAAAAAAATTCAAAACCTACCAAGTGTCTTATATTTTGAATCAAGATGAGTTTGAAAAAATATCTCATAATTTAGATCGGAGGGAGTACATACATAGGTGGTCCTTCTATCTCTTACAACCAAGTTATTAATGAATCAACAGCCTTTAATGGGTAAACACAAATTAATGAAGACTTAAGTTATTGAATTAGTGTGGCCGAATAAATTCATAGAAATTTTCAATGTTTCAAACCATAATTTCAACTCTAAGCTCCACTTTAACTCCTTTTTCCCTTTAACTATTTACCCAGTCTCAAATTATAACTAACTTTTAAAGGAGATTCGGCATCCTAAAATATAAAACACTTTGAGAATATTAATATTTTATTAAATAAATTTATTTTAATATTATTCTTTATCTCTCTCTATTTAATACTTGATAGGTGTAGATTTAAGGTTATTGAATGAAAGATATTTTTAAAAGTTTATATTTTTATTTTAAGAAAATGAGATTGTTAAGTGTATTTAATGATAAAATTATTTTATAAATTGGGAGGGAGGGAGTAACATGTAAGTATAATTAAAAAAAAATGTAGCGTGGAATTTTGACTTAGTTAAAATGAGAGATCATCATTAAATTAGTATATCTTTAAACCACGGACTATTTGGCTGCGGAAGAAATTTATAAAAAGTGCTAATTGGTATTGGACCAATAGAATCTGGGCATCAAGCCGTGGCAATCGTTACGTGGACAGCTTTGGTTGCGTATATTCAACTATCAGACATTAAATATTATCGATCGCCTGTCTGTATTTTCAAAGACATCTACTACCTCTTCTCATTTGCAAAATTAAATTTTTACAGACAATATACGATATAAATAATAACTTATAGAAATATTTGATTTACAATATATATTAATTAATTTACATATATAAAAACTCGAGAAAATTAACTCAATGGCCTCAAAAAATACAACTCCCATAAATTATGGATGAGATTTTTAAATATTTTAAAATATGACCCATTTATAAAATCAATTAAACGTGTTTTCTTTTTTTCCTTAGAATAAATTTATTATTAAAATAAAATATATTTGATTTAATTAATCTTTAGCTGAGTGGATCTTTCATTTTTATCATCAAAAATCATATTGTACGTGCTCCCTCTCTGATTTATCATTGTTAAATATTTTCTTCATCATATTTTTGGATCTGATTTTTTTTATCATCATATTCATCTCTTATACAGTGCTTTTCTTCATCAAAATTTTTTATTTAATTTTCCTGGATCACCATCTTCATCACAGAGTTTTTCCTCTTTCTCTCTCTTTGTTTTTCTCAGATATTACGAAGAGGATATTGGACATTAAAAAGAAAACTCTATTACTGATATGCAATTCTATATCATTGATATACGGCTATATATCAATGATAAACAAATTGGTAAGTTAAAATCACTAATATGACTTATCTATTAGTGATATATAATTTTATATCACTGATATACTATCGTAGATCAACATAACTAGATAATTAGACATAAACTTATTTATAATTGATATACAGCCGTATATCAATGATGTAATATCGCAGATCAGTAACACAAAAAACACATAATCATTTTCTCAAAACAAATCAAATAAAACCTCAAGAAACCCTCGCTTGAACTCTGACTTTTATAACAAAGTCTGACTAAACTTTCTCATCCTAGATCTACAGCTTTAGTATGGCTTTGTATAAAAGCTGTAGTTTCAGACTTCCTCACCTTACATTCATAATTTTTCAACCTGAATTTATAGCTTCCAGTCTTCCTTGCCTTGCATTCTTGTAGTCTCCTAGCTGAATCTCTAACTCCATTTATTCATTGGTGTGAGCTGTTCCGTTGTCTACTGTCAATTTCTTCATCGTTGTGATCGAAAGTGCAATGTCGTCTCCACATTTTCAGGTGGGTGAAAGCAAAACCAGTGTGGAAAGGAGGAATCAGGGTATTGTGATGCTAAAGGATAGTTTTGTTTTTTGTATTAAAGGTAAATTAAAAAACGACCATTATCTTAATTTAGAAAAAGGTAAGTTACTAGTTTTATTTAACTATATAATGTTGGCTAAATTTGCTAAAGCCCCTAAAAACTAAGAGAAGATGCATGCACTGCTCACAAAGCTGTAGATAGCGTGGTCTCGTATCTCTAGTCTTTGAAAAATGTAAGGAATTTAAATCCTATAAAATAGAGATTCAAGAATTTGTGTGGATTTTTTTTAATATTTTTCTTATTTTCTTATGTTTTATAGAATATAAAATCTTATCACTTTTTCTTAAGAAAGTAAACTGTATGAAATTTATAAATTATCAACTTTAAAAAAATTTAAATTCAAATGCAAGGGCTGGAGATTCAGTCATATGCTCTTCATAGGTTGTGCGTTCTAGAATTGATCGATCATTTAGACTCCTTCAATCCCAAATTATAAGATACTTTTAGATAAAATCTCACATGCTAATAAAATTCATTAAATACACTTTATAACCTTACTTTTTCAAGATAAAAATATAAACTTTTAAAAATACCTTTCATTTAATACTTCATTGATGAAAGAATATTGAAGAGAGAGAATATATGAAAAGAATAATATTAAAAAACTATAATTAATGAGATTTTATTTTTATTAAAGTATCCTATATTTTGGGATGTTGAATCTTTTCTAAAAAATTTTTTATAATTTGGGACGAAGGGAGTATCTTATATATATATATATATATATATAGTTATGCATGTATGTAGAAGGATAAATGAGGAATCTAAAAGACTTACATTATAGTAGTATATATAGTTTTCGTTTACAAAGGGAAGAATCATGTTTAAGGTTCTATAAAAAATGCTATTCATAGATAAGGACTAATAATAAGTTATAATTTGAGAAAAAAATGAGTCTATTTTCCTATTTTAATAATCTCTTTTATATTAGTTCTTATTTATGAATAACATTCTTCACAGCTGGTCCTTGGATGCTATTCTCTATTTAAAAAGCAAACAAAAGTAATTGGAAAAATCACAATCAATGACCACTAGAGACAATTAATTGCACTGAGGGACTAAATGATTCTGATATTACTCCATAGGACCTACCTTTGCTATGAAAAGATAAAACTACCCTTCATGTGTACTCCTCCAGTCCTTTTTATAAGTTATTTTTACCAACCTCATCAACACCAATGAAAAAAATACAAGGAATAAAAGTGTGTAAAATTTCAAATATGCTTCTATATAGCAAATTCAAAAAGTAATGTCATTTTACTTTTTCTCTCTTATAAATGGTAATACATTTCAAATATTACTTAAAAAGCTGCACCGTGACTTATAAATGCACTAAATGAATCTTCTAGAATGTGTCTTATAAATGAAACCAAATGGAGTATATTATATACTCTTTTAACAACAACTCCCCATTTGAAAAAAAAATAAATTTTATTCTCATTTTAACAACAATCAATTCCTTTATTAACAACTCCAAAAAATTAACTTAGTGGTGGAAAGGAACAAGTATTGTGATTTGGTGAACAAGCCCCCATTTGAGGAAAAAAAAAATAAGTCTCATTTTTATTTTAACAACAATCAATTCCCTTATCAATAACTCCAACGTATTGATTTGGTGGTAGAGAGGACAAGCGTTGTAATTCAATGAACAAGTTTTTGTTTGAAAAAAACAAGTCTCATTTCCATTCTTACAACAATCTCTTATTAACAATTTCAAATAAGCAATTTTGTAGAGGAGTTGTTGTAATATGATAAACAAGTCTCCATTCAAAAAAAAAAGTCTCATTTTTAGTTTAACAACAATTAATTCCCCCATCACAAAAAATATACATCAAGGATAGTTTTATATTTTCACAACAAATTTTAATTGCATTTAGGTCATTTGGTTCTACAAAGTAATATTAGAATTATTTAATATCAGAATTATTTGGTTCTGTAGCGTAGTTAATTGTCTCTAGTGGTCCTTGATTATAATTTTTCCAAAATAGTTTTATAAAAAAGCAAAAATTAATTAAAGTACAACATCAACAAATAACTTAATTAATAGCGCTGGAAGCTCTATAAGCGATGAAATTAATGACTTTGTTAATTGCCTCATTAGCCAAGAGGGAATTATATTGTTAGTATTATACTTCATGCGTTAAAAAATATAAAATATTTTTAAACGAATCTCGCCCTTAATAAATTAATTAATTATCTCAAAACTAATAATATCTTTTTATATTTATTTTTATTTAATAGGGTGTTTTACTTTAGAATAAACATAGAGTGATTTATTTATTATGAAGACTTTTGAAAAAAATACATTAATTATATCTCAAAAATTTAAAAATACCTTGCATTTTCTAATTATCAATTGCCCATTCTATATATTGCATGCGCATAACATGTATGTGTGTGTGTGTGGATACACTGATATACATTCATATAATATGTAGATGAATTAATGTACTTGCTCGGGCGAAAAGATGCGCATGAAATAAACTAATATATGCAATTAATAAATTTACATTTCCAATTCAAAGAGGTGACACAACTAAAGTAATAGGAGCTGACAAAATATTTCCAACGAACAAGCATATTTCAACATCATGAAAAGCACACCTCAACATGCATAATTAAAAAAAAAACTAAAAACAGCCGATTCTTTTGTGCTTGAGTCAGCTTTCCCAAGTACTAGGTAAATTCCCAGCCCAGACTTTCATGTCTTTTTTTCCCCTCCAATTCAAAACTCAAAATCCATATATATATATATATAGCATTATATTGCATAACCATGTGTGCTCATAAATCTACAGAGACAGAAACCAAGCCTCGGACAGTAGCTAGCTAGGTAGACACAAGCTTTTTTTGGTTTTGGCAACATGGGATTGCATGCAAGAATTCGGCATTACTTTGCAGGATCCGCATGCGACGTGTTCATAAACCATCGTACGGTTGATACGAGACGTACGGTGGTTCGGTTGCTGTACGACCATCTGAAGCAGCAAGGACGTAAGCCGTTCTTGGACGCAGAAAATCTAAAACCTGGAGACAGATTGTTGGACACGATTGAGGAAGCTGTACGACGATGTAAGGTTGGGGTTACTGTGTTTTCACCTCGTTACTGTGAATCTTATTTCTGTCTCCACGAGCTCTCACTGCTCGTGAAATCAAAGAAACGAATCGTTCCGATTTTCTACGACGTGAAGCCGTCCCAGCTTGAGGTGATTAAGAACAGTGCTGGAATATTGAGCTGCTCCCAGAAAGATCTGCAGAGGTTTCATTTGGCAATTGAAGAAGCTAAATGCATTGTGGGGCTGCCCTTCGACTCCTCAAAAGGGTATTATTTTCTTTCCCTGTCTCTTTAGTTTTCTCTCTCATGCAAAAGCGTTGAGATAGGACGTCACTTGCATTTCATTTCAGTGACTGGTCGGACCTGGTACGTAAAGCTTCAGATGCAGTGATGAGCAACTTGTACGTCAGTGCATGAGTTAATCAGAAAATTTGGCATTCATCATCAGTTCAATTGTAAGTTCAGTTTGGCTTAGCTTGATTAACTAGAAGCTTCCACTAACAATGATGCATGTCGCGTTGTTGAAGCTAAGTGGCTAAATTTCTGCTAGTTTATTGCGGCTTTAATTTAGTCTTTAAACCACCAATATGTAATGTTTCAATTCCTCGATCCAATAAAAATGTTTGCTCATCAAGTACTCATTAAGTAGTATTGTGCTCCACATCAGTAAACGCTAGCTCTAGAAGAACTCAAGTAGAGCATGCATTTTGTTGGCTACGTGCTTGTTTATTTTTAGATCATTGGGCACATATATATATATATCTACCTATATATACAAATTAAATGAACTTTGAGATATGATTAAACCGGTAGTAAGTAGAAATAGTAATCTGTGATGTTGTAAGAACTTTAATATTATAGTTTGTATGTGTATTTGATTGTATGTGTATATGTTGTTGGAAATAAAATCTAACATATGAGGCCACACATGTATATATTAAAAATGTGTGGCCATTGTTTGATTAAGTCTAAATAAAGTGATTTATTTAGTTTTAAAGTTTGAAGATTTAGGAGTATAATTGAGGTAAAATAAATGCATAAAAACCAAGGTAGTATTTATGATTTGTTTAGCGGCCAAATCATTATCGCAAACCTATTAACTTTATAAATAGGGATTGTGGTCATTAATTTGGCTGATTAATCAAAACATTCTCCAACCTCTCTTCTTGAAAATATATAGAATTTTCTCTCAAGTAACAAATCCAAAAAACACAACCGTTCATTCACATACTTGAATATCAAAACAAGTGATGGATTTAAGTACGTTTCTGTGCTCTATCTCTATTTCTAAGAATTGATATAGGATTGACCGGATGGGTTAATTTGATTATGTCTGTGTTTACTACTTTTTCAAATCTATCATATGTATGTAGAAGTGCGCTTTATAGTTTGCATGAAATTTGGAAAAAAAAAAACATTGTTTATAACTTATGATCGAACACTGTCGCTTCCATAAATCAATATGAATAATCAATCCTGAATTAATCAGTGGAGCAATTTTTTTTTTTTATAAATTTCATTCAAGACAAGTTTTCTGTATCTACTTGTCTGCTCTTTTTTCTCTTTTTTGGTTCGTTTAAGACACCTAAGACAACCCATGTGTGTATGTGTTTCTGGGTGCATGTAACTAAACACAATCTCCCGTTGTACATATAATCCAAAACATTATGAATAATATTTATTTAGATTTGTGACTAGTATAATTTTTGATATAAAGATTTATCGATAGATGATTAGATTGATATATTTTCATTAGTAGAAAAAAATAACAAAAAGATGAAAGCATTAACATATTAATATATTTATAAAACTTGTAGAAATGCATAGTATGTGCAAATACAGGGCCGCTCTAGTTTAATCATCTCAGACCAGCAATTTTTCCAATAATGCACATGGGTTGATTGAAAAGAAAAGCATAATGTAATTCGATGCATACATTAGCATGACGTGATAGATTGGTAGGGTTATTTGGTTTAGTTTACATTTTTTAAAACAAAAAGGGTTAAATATCAATTTAGACTTTGAACTATAGGTTCAGGGGCGATTTAAATCTCAAATTTTGAAAAGATGTATTTTGAATTCTAAATAATTAAAATTGAGACAATTTAAACCCTAACGCTAACTTTCAATAAACGTCCGTCAAATTTATTTAAAAAAAATTACACTTTAAGTTCTAATTTGACAAACATTTGTTGAAAGTTAAAGATAGAGGTGAAATTACTCCAACTTTAATTGTTTAGAATTCAAAATATATATTTTTAAAAGTTTGGGGTTCAAACTCGTTCCTGAACTTATAGTTCAGGGTCTAAATTACATATTAATCCTTGATAGTGTTATAAATTTCCCAGGATATGAGAAGAAGGAATTAAAAAAAGGTAAATGATGATAATGATGATGATGATGAAACTATATAAAAGAAGGTTTTAAATTGTAATAATGAAAAAAAAAATTTGGTGTAGATTATGGTGGGTATGAATGATTATTTTCATTTTTGTTGAGTGGGATTTTGATAGGCAATCAATGGTAGTAATAAGAATATAACATAATTTTTCACTATAAGAGCATTTTCATTTTTTTCCTATTTGTTCTTTTGCGTAATGGAATCTCATAATAATATCGGTGAAAAAAAAATGTTATCATTCTTTGTTAAAAAAAAATCTAAAATAGATTCCTCTTCGTACACTTTTTTCTTTGTCTCTTTATTTATCATAAAGGCATTTGGTTCTGTTTTATAAATTTTCACTTTCATCGATCAATTCAAACCAAGGAACTTACATACTCTTTCAAAATCTTTTTAAAAATTGATATAATATGCAAAATGCACTTTTTTCAATTACTTTTAAATTATTATTGATTAAAGTGCATTTTTTCAAATACAAAAGAGTTAATACACAATATTAACCCTGAACTATAAGTCCAAGGGCTATTTGAACTCTAAACTTTTTAAAAAGTACATTCTGAACCCTAAATAATTAAAGTTGAGACAATTTAATCCCTATTATTAACTTTTAACAAACGTATGTCAAATTTATTTAAAAAAAATTACACTTTACCTTTTTAAAGTTTAAGGTTCAAAACATCCCTAGACCTATAGTTCAGAATCTAAATTAATATTTAACTCAAAAAAAAATGTTTACTTTGTTGTCTGATATATATAATAAAATGAATACTCTATCTCAAAGCCATAATGGTTTAATTTTAATGTGGAATGTAATTAAGGAATGTAAATGTGAATGTTGTTGATATATATAGCCTGTGCCCACAGAATATGATGGACCAGGGTCAACACAACACAGGCTGAACCAGCTTCTACTTTAGGGTGGTCTTCTTAAAATATGGTACACTTTTTCTTTCTGGGCCCATTAAAAACGTTTTCCTGTCCTTCAACCGTAACGATTGACCCCTTTTGCTTCTGTTCTCACCCGTTAATTGCGACTCGTTTCTTTCAGTTTAAATAAAAAGCAGATATTTTCATCAAAAAATAAAAAATAAAAATATTATTTAAAAATATCATCATTTTTCATAATTATTACTTTAATTCCCTTCGTTAATATTCCTTCCATCTTCGTCCCAACGACGGAGCTTCCAACGTGGAAGAAATGTGTGTTTCATTTCTTACCTTACAAACACCATGATATGAACTTCTACAAAGTATACTATATTACTTCACTATTCACCACATTATAATTTTTTTACATGGTTTTCTGATTGAGTAGATTCGAGGATTGCCGAGCCTAATTGATGATAAACTTTTCAAAGATATTTTTTTTTTTACATGGACTCAAACTTGAAATATTATATTTAAGCAGTCAAAACTAAGTTCACTAAGACCAACGCCTTGATCAGCATAATCTATTTTGCTATATAGCATGGAGAAATGTTGGTGTGAAGATTTCTTTCACACTGGACTGAAAAAATATCAGCGGCCCAAATGGGCATTATGAGCCCAAAACAATATTGAGTGGCCCAAATAGAACGCTCTTTCTTATACATTTGACAAGAAAAATGAGGGAAAGGAATCACATGTTTTGGTCTTAAACTATTCACTTAGGAATTCGGCCCAGAGAAAAAAAAAAAGTATCCACCTAGCAACATTTAAAATTCTAAATTTTAACCAAAGGGCATTTGTCTTAGAACTTAAGGATATGAATAGTTTAACTTGCGGTCTCATATTTTGTCCTAGGATATGCAATAGTACAGTTGAGTATACAAAGCGTGTCTTGCCAATGGTACTTACTAAACCCCCTCAAAAAGGGACTACTTAAATGGGAATTTGGATTAGTCTGAAGTGGATTGGGTGGATAATGAACCTAACATGTCCAAGTGCTTCAGGATACAAGGTGTGAAACAAAACAAAAAATACTAAATTTTATTATAATGTAATATTTCTTTTTCAACAATTAAAAATGGGATAATGTTATCACTATTTTTAATAAATATTAACTTTGATCATTAGTTACCCCAGAAAATTATTGAAAGGATTTTGAAATTATAGAAAACAATCTCAAAAATCATAAATAAATACTCTATAAAAATTAATATCAAGTAAATTTATCAATTTATAAGTAATTGTCAAGACCCAAATGTTAAATTTTTATCAATTTGAATGATCAAAATATCATTTTAAGTTTTAACCAACCACTTTGATTGACTACTGAGTAATTATTGAATTACCATTGCTTGCAACATTGGTAAATAATTTAAAAATACTTCTGTTTTAATTTCAAAAGTTCTAGCTAATTCCTTTTTAACCGCTTATCATGGATGGCGATGAAATTTATTTTTTACCCCTATATATAAATTTTTCCAAAAATAGAATTACCAAATGATTTTGATATCATAGTGAGAATAAAACTGTAGTAATATGATATGACTTAACATTAATTAACTCAATATTGACAATGCTTTTTTCTTTCATAAAAAATAAATAGAGAGATTTTCTAATACAAAGTTTATACTCTCTTTATTTAAAAATATAAGATATTTTTTAAAAAGTTAGATGTTTAAAAATGTAATATATTTTTAATCTTTCGAGGCATAATCATTATTTTTTAAAAAAATACCCCTATTAATAATAATTTTATATTTATTGTAGAGTGTTTAATAAATATAAATATAAAAAAATAGGATTAATTAAAAAGTAAGTAATTATTTTATTAAAAAATAAAATATAATTAAAAATATTTTATATTTTTAAATAAAAAGAGCATCTTTTTTACATTTGTTTGTATGTGAAATGCTTGTAGAGTTTCAATTGGCGTAATTGATGACAGCATCAACAGTGCGAATAAGTCTGATGTGGCACTTAATATTGAAAAAAAAATATTGATGGAAAACTGATTAATGTTAAAAAGTACGCAACACATCGTTCAAAAACCAAAAAAAAGTACATGACAGTGAAGTTAATATATACTCTA